GATTACTTTCCACGTGAGAGCCCCATAGGTCCAGATTTGCATGGACGCTGCCTTTAAGAAAAAGGAAAGATACGGTATTCTTTGTGTGAAATTTTGTATTATCCGCCAATTCAGGAGAGTGGTGATTGCGAGGAAGTGATGTCGGAAAGGCAAGGTCCTATCAGAGCATTTGTTCCACTATCCAGCAATTTCGATCTGCACAACGGCGAAGTAGACACGTAGGCGTAGATCCTATATCCTTTCATATTTTCCCTGTAAAAAATATAGTTTTTATTTCAACTTTTCTTTAGTTTTGCGGATCAGCGTCCCATGGTGGCAATGGTCGACACCTACACCACCATTCCTGATCGACAGTATTGTTCTGTTTCGATAGTGTCACTCAGTAGTGGTAAGGGTGTACGAAGGTTTGCGTTCGAAGAGCCTGTTTGTGGCTTAAACACTGCATCCAGGTTTGTATCCAGCATCAGATCTTGCTTTTTCGTTGCTTATGATTATGTTCAGGTACCTTGTGATATCATTATCTACACGCTTGGTGGTCTATGATACCGTAACATTAGCTGAAATGCGGTCGATCCGAGTTGTCCAGCCACCAGAATCTTGTGCTCCTGCAATTGCGCTAAATCAACAATTTGTTGCCTTTGCGGACTTCAAGGTAGCGAGGACTTTGGTGATTCACTTTTATCTGCTATGCTTGTTTATAGTTGAATCCGGATATGCAGAGTTGCGGCGGAATGTGCGCTGATGTCGACGATGCTCCTGCTACTTATGCTAATCAGATGTTCAGCGTAGCTAAGGTAAATATAGATTATCCCTGCTCCTTTATGTTCCTTTTGCTTTAAGCCATAATGAGAAACATGAAGCATAGGATATTTTGTTCTTGTGACTGGAAAACACTGCTACTTTACAGGCTCTGTCGCGCACAGTCACTTCTTCCGTAACCCGTGTAAGTGGCTCGAAAGCGGGTGAAGTTCCCATGGGCATTGTCACCGTGATAGACTTGGAGAAGGAGGTTGAAGAAGTTGGTCAAACCTTTTTTCAGTTGTTGTTAGCTTTTTCTCATTAACATGACATGCAGGGAAATGAGGCGTTAGCCGTGATGGCACATTTTGCGGCTCATAATGACCCATTGGCACATATGGCATGGTCTCCTGATGGTCGTCTGCTAATGACAGCCGATACTTCAGCATGTGTTTTCCACATATTTTCCATTCTTACACATCCATATACGCCGCTTTTGTCTGCTGTGCAGCATCTGTACCGCTTGCGCAGGGGTACAACTATTGCCAAGGTACGTCCTTCTTGATTCGTTTTTATAGACTAGTCAGTTCTTTTTAAAGGTGGTTTCATGTGCTTTTTCTCTTGACTGTCGATGGTTGTCGATTTGCACAAACCATGGAACGTGTCATGTTTTCGCGATCAGTCCTTATGGTGGTAAGCCGTCGAGACGTACTCATGGAGAACATTTTACCAATAAGTAAGCTAATTATTCTGATAAATAGTCAAGCAGACACAAGTTGTATTTGGCTCCAGAGATTCTCGCTTTCTGCGATCAGCTGGTTTGGCTGGAGGTGTCGATGCGCAAGCTGTGTTACCGCCACGTTCTAGGAACCATAGTGGAGCGACACCAACGGCAAGGTTAGTCTTACCCTCTTGGTAATTTTTGGCGGTTGAACTCTGAATGTTTGAACGAGTATATGCATCAGGTAGATAGGTGATTACGGAAATATGTAGCGAAATTTAGCGCATTTCGCTTGCAGAATAATACTATCTAATGTGTTCTCGAAACAGAAAACCGTTTATGTGTCTCAAAACTCGCTTCTGCTCCGTAATCATATCTTTCCATTAAGTTGGTGTACGGCTTCTTTCCACAGGGAGCATCCATGCATGTGGAATCGCACCATGGCTCGCTCTACCGCTAATCCTAGGATAGGACCCTATTCTCCTCCAGTTACACTGGATTCTGTGAAGAAAATAAGGGTTTGTCATTTTTTCAGCAACACTCTCACCCCTAGTCCCGCTCTTTTTAGTCACAGTTGAGCGCGACCAATCTTCTTGCCCTTGGAAAAGATCTGGCTCCTCTTGCTTTGGCAGCTGTGGGCGCTGGTGGAAGCTCAAAACGTCGTGCCAGCGTTGATTTGCCGCGAGTAGCGCTCGCCTTCTCCAGTCGAACAGCAGCGACCGCTCGATCTCCAGCACTCCTAATCGCCAGTGCTGATGGAGGTGTTGTCTGCGAGTACGAGCTGCATCCACGAGTCTTGGGTTCGATGAGCACAGAAGATCCGCCACAAATCGATGTGTTGCCAGCAGCAATGTGGACTTTGCATAGGTTTGCTTCCAGCTGTGATTCACTAATAACGAGTTCGACAATCTTCATTCCAGAACAAAGAACAATGCAGACATTCCGCCGCCATTGCAGCCCGGCAGTCCGCTAATTACTTGGTTGGTGCCCGATAAAAAGCGACAAAGGAACGTGCGGGAGCCGGACACATGGATTCCGCAAGTTGAAGTGGGATTCTTTTTTAACCCTACTAGTTCCTTCGTAATCTAAACTCAACTTTATAGGTGTGCACTTATTCTGGTCCTCATCGAAGACTTTGGATGGGCCCACAGTTCAAATTTTTCGAGTATCGTGAGGAGAGTAGTAGCGCTGAGCTGGTTAGTAGGCGTTCTTTGGTTCGTTTATCTCCGCCAGTTTTAGACTTCATAATGCATGTATTTGAGTTTCAAATATAGTTCTAAGTCATAGCCTTTTCAGATGACACCATCAGAATCGCGGCACTCTCTTTCCTCCATCAAATCGGTTCCCGTTGTGATAGGAGGTGAGTATAATTCAAGATTTCACTAGCAATAAATGTTCCTACAGTTGTTTGATGTGTTAATGGTTTCGTACAGGTAGCATCAAACTTTCACCTATGTTGTGAGAAGCTTTATTGAATTTTTACCGGTGTTGTGGGGTTCTTCAAAGCGGCGAGCTCAAATTAGTAGTGCTGCTTGAACAGGATCATCTTCATGCTTTCCCATTAAAGGCAGCGGCTCGGCAGAATTTCGTTCTCCAGTTTT